TATTTTTTTCCACAGAAGATTTTAGGTACAAAAGAACAGTAAGAATGTTCTGGATTAAGTGAGTTAACATAAACACATGTTTGTGTTTGCAGTGAACATGAACAGAAGAGCCCAAAGAACTTGGAAAAGTCACCAAACAAAACTAAGTAGATGGTTATCAGCCATTACAGTTAAACACCAACTTTATTTTGAGAAGCCGTCTCTGGCTGCTTTCATAGCTAATACGCTAACCAAGGATTTGTTTTAATGATGGTTCCCCCCAAAAAGTCAAAGACACTCTTGAAGAATAAGCACTGGACTCTTTTGCCAATTCCTGGTTTCTCTTTCCTTCATCTCTTCTACTGACTCCCTACTCTGGGAAGGGCACAAAAACAAATAAGGATTACTTCTGAGTAGAGATATTGCAAGTCAGGATTTATAAACAAGGATCTGCAAATCATGGTTTCAAAGTATGTTTTCTTGCCCTGAAAGAAATCACTGTGTTCTTTGGATTAAGTTTCCTTATCATACTAGGCTTTAAAAAAATCAAACGTGCATATTATAGCTTTTTTCATTTATGGCCAAATTAAACCTGCTGCTGGACATTACTCACTGAAAAATTAACAGCAAGAAAGGAGTGTTTCCTTTATGTCTTGTTCGTGTGTCAGATGCTCCTTCAATTTCATCTAAAACGGCTCTTCCTACGTCCTCGTAAATTACCTTACAGATTTGAAAAATTGTTTGTTTGTGCCACATGGCAAAATATCAACCAGCATTGTAAATGGTTACAAAAGTATTTTTGGCTATCATCATTATTTCTATCAATCATCACCCGTTATGTTTTCCAGAATATTCTGAAGAGACTCTTCTGCCTAAAGCCTCACAAAAGTGTTCTACATATTACATCCCTTCATCAGAGGGTGTGCTCTTCAAAGAAAAAATTGTTAACACCCTACGTTATATTTTTACAATGCTTCTTTTTCCTGTTAGCTGAATACAAACAAGATGCCTACCGCATTTCAAATTTATAAAACTTCTGTAAAGGAACTTTGGTAAATTAAATTTGACAATCTCTTCCCACGTCCCATTTTTAAGCAAAGCTGTTTTATTCAATTTTCTATCCTTTAAGGAAACATCACAATTAACATTTCAACTTTTTCATTTAGCATAAAAACTGGACCTTCAATTCACCTCAACCTGATGATGTGCCCAAAACTATGAGATGTAATGCATGATGACCCAAACCCCTTAATAAAGTGAATATAATTCTTAATATTGATAATTAATTAACAGAAGAACCCAAGATTTATTTAAAAAAAACAAATTTAAGGATAAAATATCAGCTAGCAAAGAGAAACTATTTCTGAAAAATTTGAAATGGCTTGGGATGTTCCTGTAGCTGCACTTTGCCTCCCAATATCACCTGCCCCCCTCCACAAAGAATTCTAAATAAAGAAAACTACATACAGTATATTACCATACATATATGATCCAAGATATAATTCTTAAAGAAATTAAAGAACCACATATATATGTGGTATCATACATATTGGCAATCTTTCGTTGTTACCTTCGCAAGAAAAATGCAAATCCCCCAAATCATTTGACCAAACTACACTGATTCTATTTTCATTGAATAACTCGGGCTTCCTAGATACATACCTTCTTCCGTTTCAGGCTGTTGTACATTTTCCTCCTCCGACTGCAGAGCTTCAGTTGTGCTCTCCATCACAGCAGCTGGCTTATTTTCAATGTTGAAATCCGGAAGCCGTGGAGCTTGTGGTCTGGTTTTTCTTGCAGGATTCAGGAAAAAACAGTAGGCGCACCGAAAGGCTGCACAAAAGATTATATAGGCATATCCAATGAACTAACTGAACATCAGAGCTCTTGTTTACACTTGTTATAATTTATTTTTATTCTTAATGTTACTCTTGAGAACACCAGTTTGGGTTAGTGTGCTAGTTAAAGCCCTTCCTGGAGCATCATGCTCCACATCAGTGACCCATGGCTTCATTTACCTTTCAAACTGATGACTGCAATGCACTTTGCTATTTTTGAAGACACCCAGAAAGTGTAGAATGCAGCACCTGCTTGCAATGAGCATTGCCAATACCACATATGAATGATTTTGCAGGCACTGCATTAGTTTATCATTTAGCTTCCAAGTACAATTCAGAGTGCAGGCTTTAGCATATAAAGCCTTTTTAGCTTGAGAACAGGGTATCTGCAGCTCCTCCCATTTCAGGTAAAGCAACTTGTCATCTGAATAGGAATGCTGAAAATTGCTTCACTCAAGTAAGATTAGTAGAAGAAGGGGGAGAACAGAGCTCAGTGCTTTTCTTGGGCATGCTCCAATATTATAGTTGCACCCAAACATTTAGACAGTCCTGGTCAAATAGTATGTTTCCATGAACCGTTTCCATGAACCCCTAAGAGAAAATAAACATCTACACTGTACAAAATTAAACACATCTTTCTGTAACTTTGAATACTTTTTTACTACTTATGCACTATTATTTACAAATTCAACATAAGAAAAGAGTTTATTGTGGCAGATATGGTAGGAGTAGCACTTTGGACACCTCTCCAGTAAGTAGTTTGTAGTACCTCGTTGACGATATCACAGCCTTCAAATATTTCTTATAAGAAACATTTCTTCCAAATGCTTATTCTTTCTTTTGAAATTTTCTCCCATTCTGCCTTGCAGAAGTTTTCTAGCCCAGAAATATTCTTAGGTGGTCTTCTTTTTTTTTCTTTTTTTGGAGATACTCTTACAGATTCAAACCTCTGGTACTGTGAAGGTGAATTCAGTATCTTTAATTCTAATAAGCATTTCATGGTTTATTTAGAGGCATGTTTTAGATTACTAACTTGCTGAAACTTTTTTTCATTTTGAATTAATTCACTAATTGTGAGATATTATATTAACTTCTATGATATGTTGATATTTAGTTCAATTTATACTTCCTTCTAAATAAATGTTCTGTGCAACATAAAAAGCGTAACAGAGCCATACTGAGCATTTTCTTCAAATGCTTCATTTTTTGTTTTCAAATGTATCTTGTGCATCAATTTTTGTTTCATCAGTCTGAAGACCTTTATTCCCAAATATTTCAGACCTCTCAAGGGTTCCTCCTCCATAGTTCAGACAATTATTTCTCTGATGTGGTCAGATGAAAGGTTTCCTGACATTTCTGTTAAGCTGATCACTTTTGCGTAAGCAATGCTCTACTTTGGACCTATGGGCAATGATTTAAGCATCAGCTACGTTTTTCAACAGGATATCTGCAGTGATCTTCAGATTATGTTCTGATTCATTTTCAGGCAATTATAAATGAATCTAATGAACTTGCCTACATATCCAGGCATACGAGTCACTCCTTTCTTACATACCACCATTTAAAGATTACAAATTCCAGTTTCAATTTCAAATCAGCCAATCATTGCTCACACGATCAGGCTTTGTCACCAGCCAACTGGGTGTACCAGTAGGAACAGGAGAAACTTTTGACTTCCTGCTGGCTTTCTCATTGACTTTGCTTGTGGGAAGCTGGCAGGGAACATCAAAAAGCACTCCTCCTCCTTCTCGCCTCAACTTAAGAACTGCCTGCCACTTTACCGGGCCGGGGGGGGGGGGGCGACAAAGAAACAAAGGGAGCCAGAGACCATGAGGAATACTGTACCACCACTCCCCAACTCAGTCCCCATCTCAACATGTCCCTAACATCTCTGCTGTCCATGGAAGAAGAGGAGTTAGCTGTCAACTGCTGGCACTCTACAGCTAGCCCCACCTCACCATCAGGCATTCAAGTCACTTCCTCATCCTTCTCTCACTGCCCACCACTATTAAGATATTTCAAATTTCCTCCTCAGTTCCAAAATAGCCAATTTGCCTGTCAGATCTTGCCTTGTACCATGCAACGTAGACTTCTAAGAAGTGTAGCCAGAAGCAGTGGTGGCACTAAAGGGACCACAACTTTCGCAAGTTTCTTTTCCATAGGAGTTGTGGGATTCCAGCATTCTGTAAGTTAGCCAATCTGAGTTATTTTGGTTCAATAATTGTTGCCCGATACCTTCCAATTTTGCCCAACTGAAGGGTATGGATTCCATGAATGAGAATGAACAGAAGGACAAATGAATCTTAAAGCAGCTTTGGGGCCACTTTTACCTACTGTTTTAACCGGTTTGCCTATGCTAAGCCATTTGTATAGAAAATGAGCACAGCCATATGTCTGGAGGCCACCTCTTTAATACGCCATCTATCTACTGAAATATTGACTTAGTAAAGATTCTTTTATCAGTATTCTCTGCTAGTCGTTGGCTGTAGTCCCAACAGAGGGAAGAAATAGGTAAGCAGTTACAATTTAACTGATCTTTAAATTTAAAAGTTATGCATCTCTTCTCGTTAAAGCTCTGCAAATAAGAGGAAAAGAGTAAAATAGGAATGATAATAAGCAGAGGGAGCCATCTTGATGACAGAAGCATAGTGATGAAGAGGACAAATGGCTTGATTAGAGACCTGGTGCTTTTTGTCCCAAGAAATAACCTCTACTTCATTCAGAAAACCCTATTCTGTTTCTAGCTTACCTCCCAAATGTATACTGATTACTGTTGCCTGTATTTTGAGCTTCAAGGGGGGAAAAGATGGCAATCTACCTAATAGGGGTTTTCCCCACAGCTTGAAAATTTTAAGACTTAAACAGTAAAAGCTACTTTGTAGGACAATTGCACTGATCAATCTTTATATGTTAACTTTCAACTGGATGTGGTAGAAAGGGAATTTATGTGATCTCTTGAGACAATATCAGACAATAAAGACATGAGGGTAAAATATCATTATATGAAGTTATTTTAAGATGACTTAAATTAGTAAGTCAACATTCTTCATCAACACATCTACTGCTATATTTATATTGCTCACATAAAAACTGAGTCAACAAAAGATCTGCGTTTTTTTAATGGCTTGAAATGTTGTCTACTGAAGAAAAACTAATCTGTTTTGTCTTCTTGATTAAAGAAGAGCAAAATCAGATCTTGAAGACAACAGATAATGTATTCACATTCTGTAACTTTATAGTTTTAGGTTTAGATTCAAATCTGAGTGTTTGTGGGGGTATTTATACTAGGCATGTGGGAATCACCTGTAATAGATTTCTCTTCAAGTAGTCTGTTCTGCAAAAATTCAGAACATAAATTGAATCTGCAAGTATCCATCTAAACTTGTTTCCAAGCTAAAAATTATGCTCAAAAATTACCTATTTGGGGAAATCAAAATAGACTGCATGTAATATTTACATGACATGAAAATATCCATTTCAGTGATTAAGAACATTTCAAAATGTATTGCCCAGATGAAAATTGTTATTAAAAGGTAGATGAGAATGTGTGTATGTTGTGTGTGTATACTATATACAAAATGAATATGAAAATAATATAAAAACTAACATCTTTATGTGAACTATATCTATCTTGTTTCAATTAGATATTTTAAAGAGATTAATAAGATACTGGTTATTTTTATTTTAATAAGATACTGATTTATTTTATGGAAGATTCAATACCCAGGATCTCTTTGTTGGTATTATATATATTTTATAATAATGATGATGGCATATCATGAAGTTGTACAATAACATTAGGATTATTTACTAACTTCTGTTTTGTGTAGTTTTTTACAATAGAATACCTTTTGATAGTTGTCTATAGCTGTATATTGTTTATATATAATGCTACATATTATAATCAGTGCCTTTCAGGAAATACAGTATTATATGTAATCTTTTTGAAACTTAATAACTTTTAAAAGTTAAAATGACACATTTTTGTAGACTACAGATTACAGATTATCAACATACTTTTAGGACAAATTATCAATTCAATCATACAAGCAGTAGTGTCTGATAAATTCTATCAATCACAATGAACCTCTTTTTTTTAAATGAGGAAAAACTGAAATTGATATGGACTCAACAATAAGTTGATTCACACATCTTTTAGTATGCATCTATATTCTGAATATTTCTAAAATGTTAAATTTTAGTTTCCAAGCATTGCTGTTAATATTTTATGAAATAAAGAGTTTTTTTAGATAAAGTTGGGAAAATACTATGTTATATATTCCTGGAAAAATACCACTTATCCCAAACCAAAGAGTTACAGCAAGCAAGCAAATGTCAGCCTATAAAATTTAATATGTCATTTATATGCAGAGTATAACTGATACAAACTAATAAGCTTACATCAATGTAGCTGAAAAAGAAATCTGTTGGAAAAGTCAATATTTTGGCTGTACATGCACAGAGAATGAGGGTGTATTTCAACAAAATATTCTAGTACCTTGATAGCACAGGAACATCATAAATGCATTGATTATTGTCTTGAACATATTCACAAAGCTAAGAGCACATGGGAGGGTACATCCACATAAAAGACAAAAGATCCTGTATCTGCATTATTTGCATGCTGATTTGTGTTTGCTGATAAGAAGCAAAACTAACCCCTCTGTTTACGGAAGGCTCTGCTTACCTTAAATTACTAATATAAAATTAAAGTATACCCCTGGAGTCTGCCTCTGTTTCATTTCTAGTGTTTTCCACCAATACTGGCAAAATAGGGGCCTAAAACTTCAAAACATTTCAGGGAATTATTTATACCAAAATAGTCTTAAGAGTACAAATAAGAAACTATATTTCTACAGCCAACTTGGATACCTGCAGGTCCCAGAAAAACCGCCTCCTCCAATCAGGTGCCTTCCAGATAGATTTGACTCCTACTCTCCCAAACAGTGTAGCAAATATTTATGTGCATGGTGAATAATTAGTTTTGTTTAAGCTTTTTTAAAAAATTAAACCAATTTCAATAACTTTTAGAGCACAGAATGAAGTTTTTAATCTAAGGGGAAAACCAATATGATATATAAATATAAGCCTAAGTGCACCTTGGTTAGAACTGAAATAGCGGACTAAATAGATTTGTTCTTACCAATATATTCAAATTCTTCCTTCAAAGCCATCCCATTATGTGAGAAACACTGCTGGCATATCAGGGCATATCTAAAGAAAGGATCAGAGCCAAAATTATCAGTTTAACAATTCAAGTAGTCTCACATCAGACAGCATTAAAATTCAGAAATATGCTTATTCCCATGTGTCCTCTAAATTGCACCTGATCTCTGGACTCCACTCCACAATATCTGCATATTTAGTATAATATCTGAAGAAAGCTCAAGTGCCCATTCCCTCCTCATCATTTCCTGCCTTTAATTCATGTGTGCAGATGACAAAATAGGACCCTGGATAGGTTTAGGTTTAGGTTTATTGGATTTATATGCCTGATTGTTTTTTATAAATATACAATAATAATTGCAAATTCCAGGGACCATCTAAATATTTTTAGTGTGGTATCTGCAATTTGGTTTCTTAAGTATCATTATTTTGAACTCTCATATTCATGCCGCAATACTAATTTTGTAAAGGCTTATATTAAACAATAGTTGACATATCTGGCCTCATCAGTTACATATTATTACAATTTGGGGCTATTCTTCTCAAGATTTAAAAAACTGCTGTGAAACTATTTACAAATATTATTAGAAAGACACACAATGGCTGTAATCAAATTAAAGTTAATTGAATTCAGTACCATTGACTTCTGACTAGGTATACAGGTAGTTAGTTGTCACTTAACTATGATAACTGGAACTGGAATTTATCACTAAACAGTGCAGTCATAAAGCACAATGTTATGTAACCGCACTGCTTTGCAATGAAAATTCCAGTTGCCATAATTATGCAAATCAGTGAGTCATTAAGCGAGAACGTAACATGGTTACCATGTACCACTCCTGCCAGTTTCACCATTGACTTTGCTTGTCAGAAACCAGCCAGAAAGGTTGCAAATGATGATCATAGGACCATGAAATGCTGTGACATTTTAATTACAAGCCAGATGCCTGGATTACAACTACATGGTCGCAGAGACAATGGAAGTGCCCTAAGTACCAGGACCAGCTGTAATTGCCACTCATTCAGCACCATTGTACGTTCAAACATCACTAAACCATTGTTTTGTTAAGCGAGAACCATCTGTACAGTATCTAGGTTGACATCGTAAGGAGTCGGATTCCACATGGCTTTCTTTACTTTCCCTAATTTATGCAAGAGACAAGAAAACCAAGGAGAAAAACCACAGTAAGAATATCTGTTGTTTGGCAGAGTGCAGTCTATCCGAGCACCAATCTAGATGCTCTCTGTAAATCTGAATCTCAATCCTCAGAATTCTCAATAATGGGCATGGTGGCAAGGGAATTAAGGAATTTAACTGAAGAACTGAAGGAGTCTCAGGGACATTTCAAATGGAGTAGGCAGACATAGACTGCTACTATATCATGCCATGGCTATAAAATTCATTTATTGTAATGAGCAACATTTTACCTGTTCTGTGGACCATCTCCAACTAAATATTCAACAATTCTATCTAAGGCTCCCCTCTCTCGAGGAAGAATAAGTCTTGCCAACGGAGGTCCTGGAGGATGAAGGCCTGGAAGACAAAAGTAGCTTTCAATCTAATATAACTTCACTAGAAATAAAAATGTTTCAGCCCATGTGACACACACATGGCTCATACATATTCTAGAAATTACATTATATCCAGAGGTGGGTTGCTACCAGTTTGCACCAGTTCAGGACAACCAGTAGTGGGAAATGCGTCTGGGTCACCGAACCGGTAGGGATGGCAGGCTCACCACACCCCTGAACTGGTTCCCAGTCACCGCAGCTTGCATTTGTGACATTTTTAATGTTCTGCGCATGCACAGACCTATTTACAGGCAACAGCGCATGTGTGCTCGCTTTGCACGTGTGCATCGAACCGGCAGTAATGGCGGCAGAAACCGAACCCTGATTATATCCCACTGTACTGGCCTTTCCAGAAAGAATGGATAATGTTCCAATTTAAGGTCTTAAAGAGCAGCTGACAATCAGTGCCAACAATACTGAGCTAGATGGACCTATGGTCACTTCCTTATCGTTAATTATGGGAAACAGCCCTTGGAACAGGAAGAAGCTACATAGAAAGGAGTCAGCTTTAGCTCTGTCAGCAAACAAGAATTCAGAGCAGAAAAAACAACCCTTCACTTCAGACACTGGATTACACATGAGAACTCCAACTGCTTTTGACCATGCCTCAGGTGAATGCTTTTATTTTGGCATCTATTTCTGTTTAAACAGTACTACATTAGAATCACTGCCAGGTAACAATTGCTCCCCAATATTATCATAGGAGGTAGTCCAGCCATCATTGACAAGATCCCCATAAGGATGCAAAGAGCGCTCTCTCTCGCCTATCCAAAAGGATGCTATGCTTGAAGACTCCATTCCCTCCTACTCCAAGGCAAATCTTAATGACAGACTAAAGTATTTTTCTTCTCCTAAGTGTTTTATAAATAACTTTGATTTTTAACTGCCCATATTAGACTAGTAGCTTTTATATATTTTTATTTCCCTCCCTAGAGTATTTATTATTGTGTTCTACTGTTTTAGTGATTTTAATATGCAGCTTATCTTCTAGTCAGCCTGAAGAACTTGGTTTATTGTGTCAAATAAAACATAATTATTTTTAATATTAACAATCAATCTCAGCATATTTATAAATCCCTGCTTTCAACTTCCATTTCAGTGTCACACTCCAATGCAGTGATGGTTTTAAACCTTGGGATTTTTTAAATCAGAAAGGCTAGCTCACTAATGGATGTTTCATTAACAAATACCTTAATATTTAAAGTATAGCTGTCCTCTCTTTTTGTTTTTTTTAAAAAGCAAGAATGTACTTAAGTACATTAGATCAGTTCAAGATCTGCCTACTCTAATAAAAAAAATCAAGCAACAATTAGGTATCAAAAATGTGTAATATGTTAATTCAGAAAGGAAGAAGCTTAATTTACAATTGCTACCATTATGCTCCACAGAATGGCTCAGCTGTTGAGGATTGGCACAACATGCTGTGCTCTGATAATCAAATTGTAATGTCAAGAGTGTTCTCAAGCATCTTATTTAGAGGTGAAGGATGGCTATTATCCATGCCTTGTAGGAGGTGGGGCTGTTCTCTAAAGGACTGTGGTTTGGGGCACAATCTGCCTTACTACTTGTCCCAAAGGACTACCAGCTCTAGTGTAACACATACAACATACACAGTTTTAAATGGAAGCCTGATAGTTTTCAAACTAGAGACTGAGCCAGGATGGTGCACAAGCCTGTGGCAATTATGAGTAAGCTGACCAGTTCCCAAGGCAGTATCTTTTAGTTTTTTATGTCTTATTATTTTTACAATTTTCCTTTGCAGCTGATGTTTTTAATCTTAGTTGACCACAGTCATTGCAGTTTTGACGAGTGGCTACAATATAAACTGGATAGATGGATGGACCAAAGACTGACCAACCAAGCACATAATATATTTATTCAGAAAAATCAAGCTATTTAGGGTGACTGTATATGAATGTTTCTCAATGGATACTGAATGAGAAATACATGGAAATTTGTTGTGCATAAACTTCTTGAGAAGAAACAGGCTTCAGATCAAATATCATGTAAATAAATGTTTAAAAATTTATGTTTAAATTACATGGTTATTTCTTATCACACAAGCAAAGCAATACTGATAGACATTCTTCCAGTAGGTTCCTCGTGATGTTCTCCATTCAAATCTATGAAGGCACATTCCTTTGCAAGTTGGTCTAGCAACAATGTCAATTCTTAGACACTGTTAGACTACAATATATTTTGGAATTACTTCCTGAGAACTGTGGACAAGAATTCTTAAGGCCCAAACTCTGCCAGACTTTACTATCACAAATAGAAAAAAACAAATTTAAGGCTATAAACTGCAAATGTTAATTTCTATTATAATTATTAGACAAATTGAATAAGACTCTATTTTATTTTACACAGATTAATAAGAGTCCAACAATGTCCAATTGCCAAAAAAGGGAATATTTTTCGAAATAAATAGTTTTTAGGAGCAGAGAATGAATACAAAACAAAACAAACAAAAAACAAATTAGCTGTTGTTGTTGTTGTTGTTGTTGTTGTTATTATTATTATTATTATTATTATTATTATTATTATTATTATGCACATTTTGAATGCAACCTCAACTAGAACTGCCTATTGCAAGGTAAAGCCTAGCTATAATTAGGAAGCCTAAAACAAGAGCTCATGTGCCCCAAGAATCTCTCCAGTTACTTGGCACAGTAACAAACCATCTAAGCACACTTCTTATTCTTCATGCTGATATGGACAACGGTAATTAATAGGAACATCAAAAGCAATAATTGTGGGCAGGCTGGCTATTTCTGCAAAGCTGGCAAACTCTCAACTACCTGCTGGTTATTAATTTTTAGACATATGGAAGCTCTGTAATAATACATGTTAAATTGATTCTCTTCCACAAAGTATAATGTAATGAAAAAATGAATGATCTTTTCAAGTTTAAAGCTAATTAAATGCAGTCATATGGACTTTGACTGCTATTTCTCATAAGATAGGAAATTGTAGCTCAAGAAACCTGATTATTTTTATGCAGGCAAATATGCATTATGTTAAATATTACATATAGTGTTAATGATCAATGAAATTCCTGTACCAATACCATCACCAGTATTGTCATTGTATAGCTACAAAACTGAATTAACTGAGGGTGTTCATTTCCTAATTGCCAAAAGATATACTTAAAATTGATCACATTTAACAATTATCATTAACAATGATTACCATTAATGGAGATGGGTCATTTAAAAAAAAAGGAAGAGTGCATTGTTTCTTCCCTCCATTGTTTTAAGTCTTACATCTGTCTGCTAGAGACATCTGAAGGTACCCATACAAAGCAAAGACAAAAGGATTCCACCCAGCAACATTATCAACAATTCCCTTCCATTTAAGGTTTTTTTCTTGCCTGCCTCAAATGTACCTTTGACATATACCCCCCTCCGCCCCAAATCCATGGAAGATAAGCTGCACCCATTAGAATTGCCAGCATGTATGGAATCCTGGAAAGAACCAGTTGCTGGATGCCTCCAAAGTAAAGCATAGGTTAACCTCTGTCTATCACAGACAAACATTAGATGGATCACAGGATCAGTACATCAAGTCAGAGAAATGGGGAAAACTTCTATCACTTGCTTATGGCAGAGCTTGATTTTTTAAAATTCAAATCAAAAAATAATTTTATAGTAGGGCAGCAATTTGTTTTTCACACACACACACACACACACACACACAGCAAAATTAGTACTGAATGCTGGGAAAAATCATTGGGAAATAAGAAGCAAGACTGCCAATTTGCTGGAAGACACTTGTGTATTTGGGCTGTCTTCAAAGAATTCACAGTCTACATTTAGGATTGATAATGTTATAGCATTACCTATTTATATTGTTATATTAAATGATTATTGTATTATTAATAATCAGTTTCTCTAAATGTATGGTTGAACTTTTATTAATACAGTTCAGTTAGAAAAGTTAAAATAATTTTATACTGCTATGAAGTATGTGCCAACCAGTAGTGACCTATGAGATTATTGGGGTTGTGAGAACGGAACCACCACCAAATACAAAAAAAAAAAAAAAAAAAAATTAAGAACTAAATGTCCCCATTCCAAATCAGCAACAGCCCAAAACAGTGCCAACTAAGCAAATATAAAGTTTCCTGATGCATGGGTTCATAATCATTCATTTATCCTGCAAGAGTTCTGCACAGACTCAACTCCTTCCTTTTCCCATTACTGCACCAATGCATTCCCGTGGATACACAGACTTGCATCTGCTAATTGGCTCCAGTAAAATGATTCCTATTCATAGTAGAATCAAACAAAGAATTAACCCAATCTAAATACTTCTATAGTCGGAGTTCTTGATGGCAAGAACTTGGTATTCAGATCTTCTCATTTCTCAAGGAGAAATGTTCTTGCATGAAGTGCTTTCAGTTTATTTCTTCCACTGTAGTATTACATTCTAGCATTCTATATAAAGAACCAAGAATTCCTGTTTAACTTAGCTTCTTTGGATATAGTCAGCTACCACTTAGCTTGACAACATAAACATGTCTAGATGTGGAGCTGAGTTTATGCAATGTAGGGGAAGACAGGCTTAGACAATGTCACCCTCTGTATAGTAAAGTTAATAACTTTGTCTCCAGGATAATCATGTGGAAAATCAAGCATGCTGTATACTGGAGGTATGTTACATAAACACAGCTTGAAATTAAACAGAGGACTCAAAGTAGATCATAATTTAAAGCAAGACAGGCAAATAACAACAACAACAACAACAATACAAGGTACAGAGTATGTTGAGAGCCAGCCGTCCATCTTGGAAAGTAACCTCATGCTTTAATACTTGGACATTGCTCAGAAACAGAAAAAGATGGACAAAGGCACCCTGAGAATTAACTGGCATTAAATGCAGGAAGTATATGAATCAGGTGACAAGACTTCTCTGAGCAGCAGCCCAACTCCATGGAATACTTGAATTATGGGCAATTGCAAACTTCCTTGCTTTCTGAATACAAGAAAAATTGGTGCTACATTTTTGGTATTTAGCATGGTTTGGGTAATCATCATGGATTAATTAAAAAATACTGCAATGTTTCTGATTTTTTAATTTTATTGTACACTGAATTGTTTTTTGCTACCTAATTCCACACAGGTAGCCTATAGATGCTGTTGAATAAATGAGAAGTACTCATTGTGAAGTTTTATATAAACATCTGAAAAAAGATGCATCTACAAAACAGAAATTTCTGAGTTGTTAAATTGAGAGGTCAAGTGTTTCAAATAAGATGCTAAGTGATGTTAACTCCTAGTTATCAGCTTGTTATTTTGGAAAGTTCTGCTAACGGGGAAAAATCCTTTTCAGTTGCTGAGTATTTTATGCTTTAATCTTTACAGCGCTGTATTTTTTGCTTGGAAGAAAAATTTAAATAAATGTCAAAACATGCATTAAAAATATGTCCAGAGCTTTGTATGAAACTGAACGTATTCTGAAAGTGTTTTCTTATGTACCTGATTTATATAAGCCTGGAGCTTGCCTAAAGCAAGAACATAAAAAGGTATGCTATATTGTTGACTACAGAATCCTGCAAAGTTTTATTGCCATTTAAACAAAGAAGCCATAACAGTTAAACGAGCTCAAGCAATAGGCTTCGCTATCATAAGGTACCAGCTGTAAAGAGTTATGGCTAATTGAATATGGAACTCCTGCTTAATCAGATAACTGCTCTTCTATTTCCCAACAAAATGCTATTTCCATACTGTCTGAAAATGGCCTGTTTTATTGGTAACTAGAGGAAACAATATAAACTGTAAACAACATTAAGTGCTCTGTTTACCCATTCCAGGCATTGAGGAAGTACGGGATCCAGGATGTCGCGGTAACATATTCAGCGGTGAGGTTGATGACAGAGTTCTCTCTGGAGGTCCCCCGGGTGCTGAAATGTCTCTTGGCAAGCCAGAAGGTGGTGGTGACACTAGACCCATAGCTTTTGGAGATCCCTGTTTTGATGTAACTGGGACAGGTGGAGGCACATTTTCTCGCACTGGGGTCCGATGGCGAAGTTCTAACAGAACATTCATACACTTAATTTAGAGAACAGCATTCCACGTGATTCAAGAACCGGCAACATATTTATATTAGCCAAAGCAGGAGAAAGAAAGTTGCACTCCAAAAGTAGCAGAAGAGTGCACTAAAGTTAACAGATCAATCTATTCTTGCACTTAATCCTACCACTGTACAAGAGGGTCTCACCTGAACAACAATGAAGCAATGGTGTATCTCTTGGCGTTTTTGAGTAAGTGTACAGATGACGTAACCTATGTTTAAATGCAAATCTCTTATATTCAAGTATAAATCAAATGATCTTTGGACCACTAGATAATTATTCAAACATTATCACCCACCCACTCCTATTCAAAATCTACCAAATACAGCAAAATTCTCCTGTGGTTATCAGACCTGATCAGTGTAGAAATAAACAGGTTGCTTCAATTTTTGACTTCAGAAAAATATTGGATTATTTTTCTGAGTAGATAATGGAACCCTGAGATGCTGTGGTTACATTTCTGTTGGGGAGGGCTGAACAGCAACTTCAAGTCCATGCAGAAAAAGATCAGATACCTAGTTAGTAATGAGTTGTTCGTTATCATAATACCTCTCATTCAAAGGGAAGGGGAGGCTTGTTAAATCATCCTTAATACATAAAACTGCCTTTGGCTCTGAAGGAATTTGCCATAGATAATGAGTTCCAAAGTAGGTGTTGAAATACTGTCAACATATTGCTCTGCTCTGACCTTGTCATTTTGTTGGTGTGACTGAGGATCAGACGGGAGTCAGCCAATTGAATCAAAACCAGACCAAAATGATAGTTCAGCAGACTCCAACTTGAATACAGTGTGCACATTTGTTACTGATAAAGTATTAAGTCATACAGAATTACAACCATGGGAATATACAAGTTGAGCTAGAATTGCCCTTCCAGCAAAGCTGCAATGAGTAGCTCTGAATTCAGTATCATTATTTATGGAGGGACCATCTCCGAACAAAATGTTCCTAGTGTAGATAAGAACTGCATTAGCACTCAAAGGTCCAGGAATTTATATTATTTCTGTATCATTTGGGACACAATTCAAATTCTGCCTTGAACTATTCTACTTCAGGCCAACTTATTTTCAAATTTCTGCATCCTATTTAGAGCTCTTTAAGAAAATTATCAATGTAAAAATTCAAATGACTAGAGGAAAAGGCAGGATGAAAACATATTTTCTCTTATGACTTCAAAATACAACCGGCTTTGTCTTATTTCTTTGCCGGGTATATATGAATATTTTTTAAAAATATCATTTCACTGCCGAAAAGACAGGAGTCGTCTTTATATTTGTGTACAACAATTTCTCTTCTGAATTTTGTCAAGTATATGGACATATGAAAAAATGGCTAATAGAAAAAAGATTTTAAGTCATTTTACAGGGCGGGGCATAACCTTTTCCTAGGGGGTCACAGCAAGATCGACAGCAGTTTACAACTTCCGCGACACCTCATTTTAAAGCCCATAAAAAACTGAATTGAATGAGCTATTAAATGTTACATTTGCTTTAAGAATGGCTGGAAAATTCGATTCGGAAGAACAAAGGATCATTGACAGAATAAAATGCATTGCCTTTCGAGAGGCTCGCGAAAACAATGTCGAAGTTTGGGGCAATGACGTCTGGCCGGGAAATTCGCCAGATCTCAATCCGGCAGAGAACATTGGGGCCATAATTAAGGATGAAGTGGAAGCTCTGATGATTCAGGAGCAAGGTCAAAATCGATATTCGGTTGAAACTTTGAGAATGAATTTGGAAACTGTGTTGAAAAATCTGGAAAATCGAACGGAACTGTTTGAAGATTTGTTGTGTTCTTATCCACCTCGTTTGAATGCTGTTCGAAGGGCTAATGGTGGTCATACTGACTATTAAATCGTGTCAATAAACTCAGTTTTTGATGGGCTTTCGAATGGTGTATGAATTATTTGTGTTGTTATTACAAGTGTTGCTGTGACCCCCTAGGAAAAGGTTATGCCCCGCCCTGTATTTGCAGCCAAAGGGTTTACTGTTCCTGGAGTCTGAGTCCTTTTGGGATCTAGGGTGCAGAAAAACCTACATTCTTGGATATTTGTGTCCACTAACTTCATGGGTTCATTGTGCCTATTGGAGAGAGAGAGGAATCTTTTGCTTCTTTTAGCCATGCTCCCTTCACTCATCCACAAAGAACCACTCCTACTCTAATTCTTGCTTAGGAACAGATCTTCTTCATGACGGAGCAATGTTTCCAATTATTCAAAACCTCTTGGAATAAACATTACATTGTGTAAATATAATTTTCCTTATGAGAAGCAGTAGTTTCGTAGAGCTATTACCTTGGCCAGGTCTTGGAACTGCAGATGCTCCAGCAGATGGCGGCTCAACATCCTGTCAATTATAATAATATTATAAAGTGTTTTTCTCTATGGTGCATTTTCTAGAAAATTAGTACAGAGATCAGACCCTACCTTTGCCTTCTTGGCTTCTGGATCAAATCGTTCAAGGATTAATTTAGCAGCCTTATATGTTTCTTTTTCCATCACTTCTTCAAGCTAAAAATAAAATTTGGTTCTGTTAGTCAAGATAGGCCTCTTTAGATTTTACATTGCATTGCATTTCTTTTAGTGCATAAATTAAGAGTACAACAAAATAACGTTAGCAGAATAGACTGTCCTGCTTCTCCTTCCTCCAAAATCTCATCCCTCAAACTTGGGGAATCCCCCAGAATAGGTGAGGGAGAGCATTAAAATGAATGCGGGAGAGATTAGAGCAGTGAAGTCTCACAGTTCCAGTCACAGATTGGACCCAGAGAAACCCTGGAATACATGCAATTACAGACATGCATATGTCTGCACTCAGCTGAAACAAAATCTAGCTTCAAAAAGAATTTTCTAACCTCTAGTTGTCTTCAACAGCTTTATTGCAAGGAAACACCAAATATTGCTAATTGTTTACATATAATGAGGAGAATAATTACATGCACCAACTTCAATAATAGAATGTGCAAAAATCTATCAGCTATCATTATTGGAAGTTATTAGACATGACAAGCAAATGACAGGCAATTCCTCAGATTTATTTCCTCATAGCACTTAATGCTATTAATTTAAAGGAGGTCGTTAGCCAAGTGCTTTACAGAATAAAGTCTCTCTGCCAATTAACTGCTGTCAGCATTGATTTTAGATTATTTATTAGCAGAAGCAATTAGCTTGCTGCAAATGCCATGAAAACTCACTAACTGGGAGAACAGCCATGGAATTTGCTCAAATGACTTTAAAGGCTAACGCTTCAGCCTTTACAGCTAGATTCAAACTGCCTTTCAGGAAAAAAAATAGAACATGTTAAAAATTTAAATAAAAAATTTACAGAGTACTATGCATACTTTAGGGAATGTAATTAAAGCACTTCATTATTACAGCATTTTATTTACAATGCACTCAAGCAGCTTTATGGCTAATACATGGGCTTAATTAAAAAAGTAATCACTAGTAAAATATCATTTTAGCAGTTAATAGCCAGCATCAGAAGAAGTTTAACTATGAATATTTGTGTTCTAAAATTATGACAGATGACTAATATACACAAGGAATGTGAAGCATTTTACAGTGCGTTTTGATGGCTCCCCTCTCCTCAGGTTCTTCTCAGTGTTAAAATTTACTTCCCCTTTATACATCCAGTATTTTTTCCTCTCCCACTCAAATAAGCTATTATTTCATGTTCACTGCTGCACCAAAATTACTCTGTGTAAACACTGATCAAACTATTTCGTTATGGGGCGTAGAAGGGTGACTGGAAAGATGCAGGTTGAAAAAGATGATCCTGTACCGGATACCCTTTGGCAAGGCTCCTATCAAAACAAGCACTCTCCAGGAGCATTGGCACAGGATTCCCAAACAGTAGGCTTTAAAGCAATATTAGCAATTTTAATATTTCTGGAAGGTGCTAGCCTGGGAAAAGTTGCCCTATATTACATTATTATATTATTTAAATGTAAACATTATGTATGGATAGTATTCCAAAGGAGGAATCAAGGATTTATTTAGCAAATAATATATGCAGCTAACTTTGAAAGGAGTAAGGAAACAATTATCTACATTATTAAGACCAATCAATTTGCAGAAGATGGCTGTAGATGCCAGAATTCTCCAACGGGTAATTTAAAACCAAAAGTTTGGTTTAAATCCTTCCAGTATTTAAGATTTTGTAACAAGGCAAATTAGTACATCTAGGTAACATAACTGATTATCTGATTATTCTTTGACTAGTTCTTGCTTCAACACATGATAGCCAGTGAATTCTGACATGATTAGAAATTAAAAAATAAAGTGCAAATTATAAGCATGCAATATTTCATTTTAAACGTGCAAATTTGCAACAAAAAATGGGGGGGCAGTTTTGAGCATTATAAAATATTTACAGCACGCCTGAAAGCCCATTTTGCACTCAAAATTAGGGCATTTCATGAAATATTGTGCTCAAAACATTTTGAAATGGAAGTTTATAAATCTCTGTTTGCTAAGATCACAAATTTGTTATATAATAAAGAAAACTTCAGAGTAAGAACTCCAGATTTTTAGGTCTTGACAATATTTTAAATTAACATACCTGGTTACTTAAATACCCAAGAAGTCAACTCAGCTAACATGGCTCCCAAATGTAACTGTGAATAATGGGAATTAGTGTACAAACCATCTGGAGTTTGGGAAGGTTATTTTGGAATAATGTCAGTTTAATGGATACGGATGAGTTGCAGTTACGTTTTAGACAAAGATTCTACTTCTTTCTCATACTTCAGCTGTTTTATCTTTTTCCCCCTGACTGAACCATTCCCCAAGCATCTCTTTTTCAGTTATTACTACTAAATGTACTTCTACACTGTTTCTGAATTTTCCAAATCTCAAAGTGATTCTCAATGAATAATTAAAATACAGAAAGCAAACTGTAGACTGGAACTTCATAAAAATAACATTAATTTAAAAAACACAAAGACAAATATAAATAAAAGCCATTCAAGTAGTATTCATTGCTGAAAGGTCTGGTGAAGAATTATATATAACTATATTTCTCACCCCACTAAGCATCTCAACATTAGAATGAACTCTAGATTATTGGACTTGGACTTAATCTTCGTAAATGTCAACATCCATAAGGCAGTGACCGTTGCATTGTGAAGGCCAGGGGCAGGATGTCACGGATTACAGCACGCCATTGATTCCGATTTAGGGCGGCTTGTTGGGCATCGGTTATCGAGAAATGGAGTGGTTGAAGATCGTGAGCCACTTGGGATATCCACGTTTTCTTTGGGGCATTTCGTGCGATTTTCCACCCATTCGGTCGCAGCGAGTTAATCGATCGGTAAGGTAATCGGCTATTGTCCATACGGCAAACGTGTCCAAACCATCTAAGTCGTTGTCTTCTTAGGTAAAGTTCGATTGTAGTTTGGTTTTTACACAGCTGCAATACCGTTTCGTTTTTCCATCGGTCCCGTAGAGTTATGTGCAGAATGTTGCGCAGGCATCTTAGCTGGAATCGTTCTAATAGGTTCAGGTCGTTTTTAGATTATTAACAATAATCCTAGATTATTAACAACTAACAGTAGGTTAGAGCTTGAATGTTCACCAACAGAAGTACTATTTCTATTGATAGAATAGAATGAGGCTCTTCACTAGATAAGTTCTGCCAATTTCTCTTTTTCCTGCAAACCTCTGGACCGTATTTTTTAACTTTCTCCTTTCCTTTTCTTTCCATGCAAGCAGAATTACATTGTGTGCAAGAATGGATTTTGTCTTCAGAAAAAATATAACTTCCTATAAAGTTAAGGTAAAGGTTCCCCTCACACATATGTGCTAGTCGTTTCTGGCACTAAGGGGTGGTGCTCACCTCCATTTCAAAGCCAAAGAGCCAGCACTAAGAAGCTCAGTGGTCATGTGGCCAGCATGACTAAATGATGAAGGTGCATGGAACAGTTACCTTTCCACCAAAGGTGGTCCCTATTTTTCTACTTGCATTTTTACATGCTTTCGAACTGCTAGGTTGGCAGAAGTTGGGACAAATAACAGGAGATTACTCCATTACATAGCACTAGGGATTCAAACCGCTGAACTGCCTACCTTTCTTATTGACAAGGTCAGCGTCTTAGCCACGGAGTCACTGCGACCCTTTATAATTTCCTATATGGACACATTTTTAAAAATCTGGCATTATGTTGAACATGTATTGCCAAAGATATAGCTGGCCTTATTAGCTCTGATGGCATCAAACATATGTGGGGTAGGAGAAAGCAGAAAAGGATTCTAGACATTACCTCGAGATAAGCACTGGACAGCTATTGCATGCAACCCAGTGGAGCTCTTGGCCAATGCCAAAGTGTAACATTTATTTAAAGAAAGGAACACATTGCTCAAGTTAGCCAGTATGTGCAAGTGTTTCTTGGAAGTCAAATCCTACAGTACATAAGAAAGGTCATACAAAATTCATTGGCTCACATACTGTTATTTTCCTTGACCTTTTAACATAGGTTTTATTCTTATAAGTTACTGAGAATGTTTCCACAAAACATTTTTGCCCTTTCAAAACCTCTTATCAAAGGCTATACTAACTGTTTCTCTAATCCTCTTAAAAGGCCATACAATCAGAAGTCACAAATATAAAGTGACACCTATATTTATCTAACCATCAAATTTCTTAAGGCTTCTCAAAATATTTGACAGGCATTATGGAAACAGATAATCTGGGTAGAAGCTTATTTATCCACTTTGTTTCTTTTCTTTTATTCCCCCCAATGTATTTTTAATGTCTTTTTTAAGTATGCATACTCCCTCCAATGTATTTTAGTGTCTTTTGTAATCACCTTATTGTCCCTAATTTAAAAATGCATGTGAAAAGATCTGCACATCCTTACATAAGGCCTTGGATAGCCTCACTTAACAACTGTGGCAAAAAAGGTTGTAAAATGCCATGTTTTGCTCAATTTTGCCCCCTCCCAGCCCCAAGAGCACTCTATAAGCCTCCTAAAGGCTATGCATGCTATTTTTTTGACAAAAAAATGGGCCATTTTTTGCTCGTTTTTGAGCCCCGCCACCCCTGAGGAGCACTCTACAAGCCTCCTAAAGGCTAGTCATGCTCTTTTTTTGAAAAAAAATGGGTTCATTTTCGTGAAAAATGGACCGTTTTGGGGAGGTCTGCAGAGTGCAAAAACTTTTTTTTTAATTTGCCTCTTCAAAATCTTGGTGCGTCTTATACTCTGAAAAAATACGTTACTATGAAGCTACCAGGGATCTTCAGAACAATAAGTTTAAAAAGCCACCTGATGAGTCTATCTTCATCTCTGAGCAAAAGAAAAATTAATTACAAGTTTAAGAAAGAATTTGAAATAAATGGCAAAGGACTAAATAAGCTTTTGAACCAAGAGTAATTTATAAATAAATTAAAGATCCAGACAAATTTGGAATATTGAAACTATAAGATTTATTGTAGAACTATATAAACTATATAAAATAAATAGCTTTTGAATGGAAAGCAGAATTGTTTTGTTTACTGTAAATCATAACAGAGATTAGAGGCTTTATTATTTAAAATGGATGTTAGAAAAAACTAAAAAAAATTGGTTTGGATTCAGATTGAGATTTATAAAATGACACAAAACACTATAACTTCTGAACTATTATATTAAAGACTTCCAAGAATAGAAGCAGAAATTAGTAAACAATAACAAAAATAGTAATAATCTTGGCTTTTATAGATACACTAAGTTTAAATGATGCTAAGAACGGAATTACAGATGAAACATTTTTGGTTAATGCAGAAATTAGAAATATTGGATTTTAAAAGATGGGAATTATAAGATTACAAAGATATTTAAAGTGGTAGGCCAAAATAATAACCCATTCAAAAATTCTTTACTGGATATTCAAATGAACTGATTTTAAAAATTAAAGAGGAAATGCAAGTGATAAACCAATAGAATGATCTGGGTCTTTTCATTGAATTTACAAAAGAGGCTTAATAGTGAGTAATTGTCCCCTATGCAATGGGACAAAAAAAAGAATTGAAGAGAGATCAATTCCTATGACAATATTCGAATGAACTAAGATTAATATTTTTGGAAGTAAATCACAGGACTATAAAGTTGGTTTTTAAAGCTAAAATAAGTCATTTTAATGAAATTTTGATAACTTTTTACAGACACCTTGCTGACACTAGGACTGAAAAGTTGATTCTTATGGATTTGCTTAAAGGGATGCATTATGGAAGAAATTATCTGCAACCTGGAAGGTATTGCACTTCTTACATTTTACATTCTTCTGATGATGGAAGGGGGGGAGAGAAACCTGCCCTTAATGATTGAAGCTGGGGAAATGGGGCCCCTTGCCAGTCAACAGGAGTGCTGATTTAAATCAGTTTACCAGGAACTTAGGAACTGAGGGCAGCGCAGCATAAGGAAACAACAATCAACAACTTAATAACTGGCCAACAATCCCCCAATTAACAACTAAAATCCACGCACAACCAGGCTCCACATAAATATTATGCATAGAGCAGCCCATTGCATCCATTTTGGAGAGAGAGATGTTCCCCAAGGATGGGCTCCAGCACAAGACAGAAAGACTAAACCTCTAATCCTGGTGATCAACTCAGTTTGGATCTTGCAACATTATCCTTGGATACATTTGCCTTAATTCATGACATTACCCCTTTTAATTTACTTTGAATTAGATTATATTACTGAAATTATTTTTTGAATAAAAATGATATATAATTTTAAAAAGAAAAGTAATAGATAACAAAATATTAATCAAGCTGTGACAAAGCACAGGAAACAACCGAAGGTAGAGAAAAGTATGAAATTAGAGTTGACACAGGGTGTTTATTTGCTGGGCATGAAGAAGAAAGAGGATGTAAAAAAAACAGCAAGTACACAACAAATTATAAATGAAGAAAATCATTCTGGTTACTTTTAAAGATACTAATTATTAACTCATTAGTGACTTGAGTTTTATATCTGCTAATTAAAATATATGCATCTGGCTATGTCAAGTGAGGAATTGCACAAGAATATGTTATTGGGTACTACGGTATATTCACTCTTCAAGTTAACGCCAATCTCACACATTTATTTAAAAGTATTCAGAAGTTTGCCATAAATCACCTGCAGGAATCTCTAACATATATTTGGGACTTGCTAATAGTACCTAAGATGACGCAATGGCTCAGCAGTTGTCTGGAAAGGACACAGCCCAGGTTCAAAACCCAAACAATACACGACAGGGTGAGCTCCTGTCCTCACCCTAGCTTCTGTCCATCTAAAAGTTCAAAAACGTGCAAATACAAGTAAATAAATAGGGATCACTTCAGCAGGAAGGTAACAGCACTCTGTGACGTCATGCTGGCCATATGACAGCAGAAATAGATGGCGCTGACTCAATGACCCTTGAAATTGAGATGAGCACCGCCCCCATAGATGGCAACAACTAGCAAAGTAAAATCTGCCAATGGAATATATATTAAGTGACAGTTTTATTACTGTCTCCTTGAGATAGGGATGGATAAACCCACTCTCTCCAGGAAGCAATGGAGTTGGGAAGGGCAAGCTTATCCAAGAAAGTTGCAGCCCTCATTTTTTTAGCCACTTGTCTACAACTTTGAGTCTACTAGCTAGAAATAATACAAAACAATAGGTTAAGTGCTGGTTATTGCTGTATCCTCCCACTTTATTTCAACACTGGAATTCAGGTTAAGGTGGAGTTAAGGCTATCCAAGTTACTTCATCCACAAGGAATGCTACAGATTGCACATACCAATTCATTAACTCCTCTGTCTTTCCCTTTCTCACATCCTCATAGATGCCTCAGTATGAAAAAGCAATACAAACTTACTTCACAAATATATACAGTGAATCTATGAAGTACGCATTCTTAGCTGTAGCCACTCTACAGGATGTTGCTCCAAATGTGTTTTATTTCATGTTCAATGCAATTCATTCTAAATTTGCCGCTATTTACACTCAAGCTGTTGCTCCTTCTGGTTCACTCTGCTCAAATTCTCCATTAAATGGAACAACGGAACTGGCTAAACAGTTGCTATTCTCCTCCCTATCCACCAAACCTACTGTATTGCACATGGAAGACAGACCTGGAAGAGATTAACTCCCTATTCTTTCTCTCTGTCAGGCCCATGACACCACAGGCTGGCATTTTTATCTCAGACTAAATTCTGGATGATAATGATCTAATTTGGCAATGATAGGTGTAATTTAGTCTTTATCTCATGGATTTATAACAACTTATAAAATGTAAGAGCTTACTATTCTTTTTTTTTGTTCACATCTCCTTGACTATAACCAACATTAACCACTTCTGAAGGCAAAACCTTGCTAAGCTACTAATACAAACATGATTTGCTGAATACATTAGAAAAAATGTTGGTAGATTTGTATAACTTATTATTCATTTAAATAAACATTAAAAAATAAAGAACAAACAGCTCCAGATCAAGACTTTATTCTCACAGAAATATGTCACAATTGATGTAGGAGATGACCAGGCTGAGACCGAGGGAGGAGTCAAATGCATCATTAGTCATTCATACCCACAAGAGATCTAAGTCCAGCCCATCTTGAATTCCTTTCTATTCTTAAACTCCTGCTAATTTCCCTTGATGGTTAATAGTTCAAATTAATGTAGATTTATGTAATGTTTACAATAAATCTTTATGCACATTTGAACTGCCTGGATCTTCTGATTTTCCTGGTACTTGACAATTGACTTGTCACTGACACAACTTTCAATGGAGATATGCCAAAAATGCACAAATAATCAGATAAAGAAATCTTATTAAAATTATATTGATTGTAATAAAACTTAAATAATCACAAATACAAAAATGGTAGTCTCTATCCCACTACTCCAATCCTGTTGATGAATGTCCATCAAAATATATTGTGGATTGGAAGATATTTTTCTCTCTCCATGTTCAGTTGGCAATAACAGCTCAATCAGCTGAACATATTAACTGCATTTCACATATCCTTTAAGAATATCTGCAACCAAGTGAATGTTTTATAAAACATGAGATACAATTTCAAGTAACATATTTATATAGAGACTTACTATTTTTTTCTTCTGGGATTTTAAATCTTCTAAGGCTTCATCTAGAAAACAATATTTATAATAATATTTTAATACTAATGGGACAAGCATATCCACACCCACAATAAAGAAAATATTGAATACAAAAAGTATTTTCTTCACACCCTGATCAGCTTAAAGTTCTAATGGAGTATTTACCCATTCTCTTCTGGCTAACTGATGGGATATTTAATAAGATACATCATTATTCATAATCAGCAGCTTATCAATTTTGCTGCAAGTGAATATGGTAACTAAGAGTTTTTATGCAATGCTGTATCAAGTAAATTATTATTAAAAATAATATTGTTTTCAAATGTCATAACATCTTTATAACCAAGGAAAGAAATTGAAGTTGATATGAAGCTACTATCACAGAAACATTATAGACTGGGAAAAGAACATGAGCTTAAGTTTAAATAAAAATATACTTTTAAAATATTCAAAAGCAATCCCAGAATTAAGCAGATACTAAATGCTATACAAAATTAATAAGCCCATTTTTTAAAAGAAATACAGATTTGTCAAGAATTCTAATGCAAGAGAAGCAGCAATATAACAGATTGCATAATAATGTTGTAATATTTTAACCCTTCTAGAAAAAAAAAAGAAAAAAAAACTTTAAATGTCTGAAGTATTTTTTATGAAGTCCCTGCAACATAAATGTTTAACTCCAAGCAACTGAAAAAAATATTGAAGTATAATAACAGAGTTCTAATATAGATAGCCCAAGAACGTCACTGGGCCTCTTCAAAGTTAATGTCAAGACAAATAGAACTGAACTGAGAGGCTCAAATGCCTGCAAGATTTATGCCAAGAGCACCTACAGAATTTCAAATTCTGGAATAAACAGCTGTTACAATCTATTTAAGTGCAGTGGACTGGTTATAAAGAAAGAATGCTACTATAACTTAATTATTGCATGCTAAATAAATTTGGAAAGGTAGTTTCACATCACCAGTTAAACAAGAAGTTCAAGAAATGGGATCGAGTAAACCATGAGCTCACAAAAGTACTACAAAGATGTATATATTCTTCTGCATACTATTTTAGGCTCCTTTGAAAAGAGTTGTTCTATGCATAAACTTCAATTATTGATTAGCTGAACTGTACAAATACCACAACTTCCTTTTCCCAAAACCACAACAGATTTTAGTTTTAGTTTTAAACCACCAAAATTAGGAACACATCGTAAGAACTTAAATAACATAATGAATTCCTTTCAGATTAAACTCCTTTCTATAATAAGATTACTCCTGTCAACAATGTCTTAAAATATTTGCCTGCAGAAAACTCAGCCAACAATAATTCCACTATCTTTTAAATGAAAAAGAAAAAATACACACACCAACTTTAAACCAATGCCTCAGACTCATTTCTCAGTGGAAACAATTTCAAATTATGCTTAAAAGAACATATTTAGTGCTATGGTAAAACACCTGTTTTGGAGTATATTTTTTATATTCCTTATTCTCACATAGTTTGGCTGAAGAGATTGTTGCATAAATTGCTTTTCAGCATCACCTGTATTAGATTTAAATACCTCAAAATGTGTACTGCCAAGAAAACAAAGGATTCAAAGATGATCTTTGGAAAAATAAATCATGTTCAAGAGTAACATTTATAACACTTATGCTTTCAAATTGTGGCAACTGCTTGGACAAGCCACTGCAGTTTTCTTGAATTTTCAGATTTTTGCAATTTCCTATTTATTAGGGCTAAGGGAGAATCACCCAGCTGGGTGTGTGCGCAAGACTGGACTAGAACTCACAGTGTCCCACTTTCTAGCTCAGGGGTGTCAAACTCGATTTCATTGAACGCACCATCAGGTTTGTGTTTGACCTTGGGGGACCGGGGTGGGCATGGCCCTGGTGGGCATGCCAGCTGAATGTCATTCATGTCGAGGGGCATCTGTGGTGGCCCATAGTGCTTCTGCCAGTGAAAATGGGCTCCCAAGCTCTATTTTCAGCTGCCACGGCCTCCTGAAACCCTCTGCCAGTGAAAACGGGCTCCCGAGCCCTGTTTTTGCTTGTCATGGCCTCCTACAACCCTCTGCCGGTGAAAATGGGCTCTATTTTCACTGGCAGAGGGCTGCAGGAGGCTGTGGCAAACAAAAACAGAGCTCAGGAGCACATTTTCACTGGCAGATGCACCATGGATCGATCCTTCGCTGTTTCCAGGGTGACCCTGCAGGTCAGATCTAAGTACCCCACGGGTCGGATCTGGCCCCCGGGCCTTGAGTTTGACACCCTTATTCTAGCTGGATATATTAAGAACAAACCACACTGGCTCTCCAACATATATAATGTCACGCTGAAAAGAATGCAGTCTTCCAACAGAAAACTCAAAACAATCAGGATATGGCCAAATGATTTTGTGTAGCCTAAGAGACATTACAAGTAAAGTTCGACTGTTCTAAAAATAATTCATTTAAATATGTTTTAAAATTCCTTTAAGTATCCTTCAAATATCTAGTACTTTATTTCAACTTGCTGTACATTTTTAGTGTACTTTAAATTTATCTAAGAGCAGATAACCTGTTGGCAACAGCCTGTCAGGTACAACTCTCAAAATTTGTAGCCATAAGAGGAAATATGTATATGCATTCAGTGCTTATTATATGTTAAACTGTTTGGGGATACCAAATTACTCCATTAAAAACACCACCGGGGGGGTGGTGAAATCACCCTGGTCATCTTTACGATGTTATGACATCCGTGCCCTGCTCCCAGTGCTAGCCTGTACCAACAATAGCAAATAATAGTAAAAATAATGTAATAGTGAAAATAGTTGTGTAGCACATAAAATTTAATCTTCAAAAAATGCTTCACACAAAAACTGCTTTTCCTGTGGATCCTGGGAAAATGCATAGTTACTTTAAGATGCTACAGATTTGTGCTATATCTCTGTTTCTGCTTTCTCCAAAGCATTTTTGGCAACCAGATCTGAAGGGCTAGTAAAATAAAGTGCAGCAACTCCTTTGTTTGAAGTTTACATTATGGCTTGTCAAGAGGTTAGTCCTTTCACATTATGCTAACTCTGATCAATCGCCTTTCTTCTCCACAGTCTGCTAATTGCAGTCAAAATAATAATAATAATAATAATAAGTGCTGTTAACTTCAAGGAGACCAGGGTTGTGTTTTTTTAACTGTCTGATAATATAGTGTGGAGCTTATTTGGTCTCACACTGAACATGGAAAGCAAACTGAAATATTGCAAATCACTTTCAACCTTAACTTAAAATCTGCAGTTTTGACCCATATACAAGGAGACAATTCTATAAGAATATATACAAATAAGCATCAGAATGAAAATAGTTGTCCTATTTATGAACAACTGTGCTCTCCTGATGACTGAACTGCATGGTTCTAATTGTTTTAATGTTTTGTATAGTTTGTATGTTTATTTTATTATGTGATTTTTGATACTGTTTATGTTTTAATCGTAAACCTCTCAGGGTCACAAATATGAGCATACTCTTCGAGTATGCATACAGAACATTGTGGTAATCCAAACAAGAAATGGGCAGGATATAAGTGACTGATCTCATGATCCAGAAAAGAGCACACATTATGAACATTTTAAAAAATGCATGAAGAAACTGATATTAGAAAATATTGTGCAGGAAAATAAAAATAATGTGCATTTGAATGCCTATATTTCATGTTCCTCAACAAATGGGCAATGGAGGATCATGTATACTAGTAAATAATATGTTTGAATAGACTGAAAACAGCTTGGCAAATCCTCTCATATATTCCAAAAGATAAGCAAGTGTTCCATGCTAAGATATTTCCATAAAAAACACCAAGATTACAGGCTGGTGTGAACCAATGCAGACATACACTATATAAGGAACTCTGATACCAAACAAATTTACAAGTTTTCCTTTGGATAAACAGGATCTCAAAAATAAAGCAGAATTTAATAACATTCTTTTTGTTATTAATATAAGAATAAAACCCCAAATATCTTGAAAAAATAATTGTAGGATTTAATTTTGTTCTTAATTTTTGAATAAATATAATATAATTCAGTTTTACGACTGAATGTTTAACAAGCAGGTTGCTTTATAACATTCAGTGACTCATACTCTACACTGATTGCTCATTAATCCCAATTTAAGTTTGTGAATATTGTGAAGTTTGTATTTAAGATGCTTAGCTGTTTTAAAAAGCCTCTAAAAAGCGCCCTCTACAGGAGGAGGCAGGAGAACCACGTGCCTCATCTAGTCTGACTTTAGTCTTTTTATGATCACTTGAGCAGAGTTAAGCAAGGGTTAAAAGCCTAAAAATTCCTGACATAGGTGAGGCACGTTGTTCTCCTGCCTCCTCCTGTAGAGGGCGCTTTTTAGAGGCTTTTTTAAACAGTTAAGCACTAAGCAGAGTCATCCACGGTGACTCTGGCAGCAATTAGCTCAGCCTGACCTCAGCTCTTGCCTTTTTCCTTTTACATATTTTTTTCATGATGGAAGGCAAGAGCAGAGTTGAAATCTTCTTT